CCAGCGAGACTTGGAGACTTCGGTGTCATTGACACAGGGCTCATTGAGCACGGAAGTCCTTTCGTTCCAGCGCAGTGTCTAACGGACACGCAAGCCTCGTTGAGGCAATAATAATTTGAAACTGTAAATGTTCTCAATCACAATAGGAGAGAGTGTAAAGGGGTTACACATACCCTGGCAACAGAGGTGTGTGTCACACCAGATGGGCATGGTTTGACCACACCCAATTAAGTATACAGTACGGGGCTGGATAGCCAGTAGTTATACATGTATTCAGACTTAACTATACATATTTAGGAAAATCTATGCATTTAAATTAGGCGGCCTATCCGCAGATAAAAATAAAAAAAAATAAAGTCAGTTTTTGAATTCAAACGGAAGAGTTAATTAGCCTTGGGTTAAGGTTGTAATTACTCTTGGAGTAAGCTTATTGCGATCTGCTAAGCTCGTACTTGTTCTAAGTATAGAACAAAAGATTGGTACCCAACTTACGCTTCCTCTAAGCGCAAAGCTACGGCAGCCCCGCTGCACCAACCACTTGTAGCTTCATTCACACAGAAAGTTGGACTACGATGTGGAGACTTGCTCTCATGCACATCGCCATCCTTCTTTTGGTGCGAATTGAACTTGTCAATTGCATTGACTTCTTCTTTTGGCAACGGCCATTGCCGTGTGATAGAATTTTTCGTACTAGGATGTATGTCAATCTCATGACGAATGCCACTATCGGCTCGCAATTCGCCCTGCACTTTGTCTAGAGGTTTTATCCACATTTCTTGATAAATCCATACACGGGGTTTGTTCTTAAAGTGTCCCGCGACTGCTCATCAAATATTTACTTGTGTGTCTTCTCAGCAATTTCTTATACGGTATCGATGTCATTGTCGATAGCTTCTTCGACAATCGCACATATTTCTTACGATATAATTAGTCCCAATCGCTTTTTAGAAGCGGGCAATCCGCGACGCTTCAGTGCCTTTTTGCATTAATGACAAGGAAAACAATTCTTTGACTGAACTTGAGGGATATTCAGTCTTCGCGTGACGGATAGTATAGTATCGATGTCACCGTCTTTGTTGTAGGCCACAAACTCGTTCAAACCGTCTTCTTCTCGATCACTTCCTTCATTAAAATAACATGTACCGTGATCAAGGGGGCGCAAAAAACTTGACGGAAAACTCTTCTAGGTGGTCTTTGTTCTTCTCTCGGGATGGGTCTTTGCGTCTAGTCCCACTATTGATACTACAATCGACCATGACTTTTATCTCGATGGCTAAAAATTAGTCTTTTCAATGCGCCTGACTGCCCCACTTCCACTTGGTGACGTTTCTTTTGTCTTCCTGGGATTGTCTTGGAAACATGGGTAGTCATCGCACACCGCAATATCACCTGGGACATCTGTGACTTCTTCTGCAGATGCATGCGCCCATATCATTTTCTCCGTTGTCATGCAGCTCGAATGAGCGCCGCACGTCTTGTTGACGACGTTCTTTATATTCATCCAGAAGAATTATTTTGTTTTACACTTAAACCTTGGCATACCTAGAATGATCCTAAACTTAAACTCGAGGTTAAAAAGGATAAAGTCGTCTTCACCTCGGAATTCCTTAACTTTTGTTGCCAAGCTAATGACATTGGTATCTTTATTGCAGATCCATTCGCTAAACGAATGATCATTTTTTTCCATTGGACAGGCTAACATCATAATTTGCGCTCAAACAAAGTTCCTCGAAGTACCAACGTCTACCAAAGCTTGTAGTGGTGTCACAGAATCATCTACAAAGGCTTTTTGAACAATCTAAGTCGCTTTGCTTGACACTACTATCACTCACAGTGGAAACTGCATGTGCATCTTGCACGTTGGGGCCAGAGCTCTGTGTATCCACAGCATCCACAGTACCCTTCTTGGGCCCAGTAGGGAGTCTTGCCCCTACTGATAGTTCCCGTTTTTATCCTTCGGAAGCGTTCGAACCGACGACCTTTATAGTGCTCGCAGTTATCCGAACGAGCACCCTGTGTCCATTGCCCACTCGGCAAAGACACTTTGCAATTCCGAACAATATGAACCGGCTTCCCACAACGATAGCACTTCTCATCGCGGTAAGGACGCGCATTTCCAGGCGTGAAAATGTATGAGGTGTCCATTGGCTGGAACTTCTCTTGTACCAGTTGACTGACGCGCTTGCCTTGGTGTTAATTTATTAATTTGGGTTGCCTGATGCTGCACTCTCCTTGTATTGCACGTTTGTTCGTCCAACGTTTTGAAATCTTCATAGGACAGTTGATTTCTGATCAGCACATCGCTCTAACCCGTTATGAACGTTACAACTTGCGGTGTAACGGCAATTGGTGCGTTTGTAAAAAATCGATACAAAGTAGCGAGCACGCTATGCCAAACAAATGGAGGTCATCACGACCTTGATGAAACTTCAAGAGTTCAGCAAGGGTACGGAATTGTAACGGGGTTTCATATATCCTGGTATGAAGTGTGTGAGTCACACAAGATGGTTTAACCACACGATGGCGTGGCTACACTTACAAAAGAAGTCAGTACGCGGCTGAACTGTCAGTAGTTGTACATTTCATTAGGATTTACTGCATAGATAGGAAAACCCATAGATTTATATATAGGCGGCTTTGCCGCAAATAAAACCGAGAAATACAGTTTACCTTTTGAACAAAAGAGTTAATTAGCCTTGTATTAAGGTTGTAATTAGTCTTGGAGTAAGTGGGTTGCGATCCGCTACACTCGTACTGGTTCTAAGTATCAAACGAAGGTCATCGATCTTAATTAAGCTTCCTCTAAGCGAAAGAGCTAAGGCAGCCCCACTCGCTTTGTGGTGGTTCAAGCGCCATCTTTGGCTCAACCTTGAAATAGTCGTAGTTGTGAGAGCAGAGTGATTGGCTAAGTGCTTACCATACCCCCTACTCTCCTCACGAGCTGCAAGATTGGACATCGCAAACAATACTTAATGCAAGGGGTCTCGCAGTTGTCTTGTAGTGATTGCTGTATTCAACTGGATAAACCGGCGTGAAAGAGGCTCGATATCTCCACACGGTACAAAGACACGTTCAGCGTTAATTGCATCGCCTTGAACAGAGAAACAGGGATTGCGACATGTATCCGAGAATGCATGATCTCATGATACATGAAAATAACGGCCGCGTTCTTCTGATTATCCGGAGAGGATAACCGCAGTAAACGGACTACAGAGGCTTCTCCAATGACTTCTCGCATCTGCTCGAGTGCCATCCACTTATGTGAAGATAATCAGGGAACAACTTATTCATCAAAGATCAGATTGCGCTACTGATGGAGCGAGTGAAACCCCAACTCCCTCCATGTCGCTCAGACAAGGACTTCTTGGGGAGGAAGATGAACATTCTCGATTCGGAAGAAAGAGAAAAGGCTTAACCCCTTTGCCGCAAATTTGCATCCAGAAATTCAATGCGTTAATGGTTCCTAGCTACATGCAAAACGCCTCAAGGGTTCTAGAGGTCTTACCAATGACACCTTGGTTTGCTATGATCCTATATTATAAAATTTAGGGTGGACTGAAGTTAAACCTCAGCTTGAGTGTACGGGGCCTGGACTTCGAAAAGCTTCAACTTCAAATTTCGTGGAAATTATTCAGTAGGAGTGACTGGCTTACTTCATCCACTTTGAAAGACAGAGACATGTCGGTCTTGTCACCAGTAAGATTCCTAAGCCGGAATCAGCGTTTTGTATTATCACACAGAATGTTTGTGACTTCCTTTATGTTGTCGCTTATGCATTTGGAAATACCATATAGTACACCTTTTTTATAGATTCCCACAATACATACAGAAGGTACATAGAGTACCTTTATTTAATGGCTAAGTCTAGCTCTTTAAACTAACAGATCGGTGACTTGCACAAATTTGCTCTGTGTGTATCATCACTGACCGACGCATTCATTATAGAAAAAGATCTTAGCTTCTTCTTGGGAATCAAATAAGATGGCTTTTATGTATCTCATCTCTTTGCGTATATCCTGAGAGATAGTAACTAAATCTCTAAAAGATCTCTAACGAAGGGACGTGATAAAATACTAATATAAAGTTGACATACCCCAGTCACTTAGCTAGACCGTGTCGCCGTGACACATATTGACTACTCTTCCAAAAAGTAGGCGCTAGACCTTCTGCACACGTTTACAGCCACCTCTATTCAAAACGATTATCCCCATAAGCCACGGAACGAAGCCGCTCTGATTCCTCTTAAACAGGACCAAACCCCGGAGACTGAGACGTACAGTCGCCGAAACGTTTTATTAAGACACATCAGCTTGCAGCAATCTGTTTGTCCCGCATGAGGGTTGAACACAGAGAGCACGAAACGGACTCGCCTACTTCCGTCTCAGCAGACACATACGTTACACACAGTTACTACATCTCAGCTGAGCTGAGACACACTCTTTAATATGGCAACTGTTGGTAGTATTTGAGGTTTGCTCTATACGCCTTGATATATCCTAATTCTGCAAAATAACTCTATATCCTGCGCCACAGGTGGTGAAACTGTTGCGGTTGTTGTCTGTGCCACGAGCAGAATAAGTGCATGTTTCACCAAGTCCCGAATAACAGAAATTTTTGGAATTTCCTGTTTTTGGTTTCCAAAACCTCTCTCAATCGTGGCGTTCTGGTCAAATCATATCTAATAAAATATCGGATCTCGAACTGAAGTCGAAGAACAAATCCTGCTTCACGTTATCATAGCTCGAAACTTTATAGAGATGTATACAAGACCCTTAGCACCTAAACAGACGTCCACGGCGCAAGACTCGGGGATAATCCATCCGCACTGAAGGTTCAAATGCATAATTTTGCTGATCAGTGCATTACATGTTATGACGCGGCCTTCTCGTCACTTTATAAAGCCAACACGTATCTGTTGACAACCAATAAATCTAAGCCGTAAGTCTCACTTCTTTCGAGGTTATCATCTACGCTTGACTTAAAGCTTGATCTTTATCAGATACGTTACCACTGCGCTTATAATTTTACTCCACCACTTGCGCGAAAATAAGCGCGCGGAAATCTGATGACCCGACTTTTCTCCGCAAAAGTCTGCTCGTCGGTTTTGCGTAGGAGCTCGATTCATCGAAACCCACAAATATAGGGAATGTGATGCGCGAGCGTTAATGATTGGCACTCCCTCAGGTATAACTTCTGCAGGTACCAACGAGTATTCTCCACCTCCTAAATATTCTCTTACGCGCTCACTGTGATCTCCACCGCCGTGCCCAAATTGACACCTGACCAATAGTTGTGTTTTAAATGCGTGCGACTTCCCGCTTCCCACAATATGATATGTGAACGTGAAAGTTCCTGATGTTGACTGCACCTGTATGGTGATCCTTCATGAAGAATAAAACTTCAGTCATCTCCGGAAGAAGTCTTCCGGCATCATCTTATGCAATATATCTGCGCTTGTACATAGTACATCAAATTTTTTCTTCTCAGAATTCGGGCCAAACGCGGTCAGTCTGATAGGCGGTATGAAAACTCGCAATATATGTTGTCTAAATAGTATTCTTGATAAGAATTTCTGGAAAACTAGCGCATCACACGTTGGTGCCCATTATAGTATTCGGACTACAAGCATGAATATCGCTTATTTAACGCTTTGGAGTCCATCTGAAACACAAGGCCTAGTTCATGGCCTACTCAAGTTTTGTATTCAATGACCCCAAACATTTTGGCGCTCAACAACGGCGGTCTCCTTCTATTGAGCTCAGTGAAGACGGTGGCGCTTTCACCGATGTCTGGTTGAACCGTTCTGGAAATGCATTTTAGTACTGACGAGCGCCAAAAGGCGAGCGGTTTCAGCTTCGGGCCAAATGAGCAAACAGAAATAGAGGTTCGTTCAGCGCATTTCGCTAAACCGGATAGATACGTAAGCATATCTGTTTTGTTCTCACCAAAATTACATTTTAAATTATACGCAGTCCATCGCATTGACGAGATGTTTTACCGGAATCACCGCAAGGCTCGCACAAAGGAAGCGCTAACCCTACGCACATAGTATGGAATCACCGGTCAAACATAACATTTTTTTTCAAAACCAGTGTTATCAGTTGCGTAGTACTTGCTCTTGCTCAAATTGATAAAAACAATTATATCAATAAAATTAAAGCATTTTAAAATGATGCTAATATTTATTGCTCTGCAA